GGGAGCCCCGAGCCCCCGGCCTGGCCCAGGGCCCCTCCCCCTCCTAGCCGCTCTGGACAGCTGGTGTCCTGCCCAGCTCTGTCTCCCCGCGCCGCCGCGCAGCGAGTGAGGAGCGCGCGAGATGGTGACACCGCGGCGGGGTCGCGGTTTTCATGGGGCCTTTCAAACCGCGCGAGGGGGCTGGGGGCGCCTTTGAACAAGTCTCCCAGAGCTGTAACCAACCAGGACTAGGCAGCACCTTACAGACTCACAAGATGGTTTAACAGGGGAGGAGCTTTCGTGGGCCAGACCCACTTCCTCAGATCAAAGAGTGGAAGAAAATAGTCAGAACCATAGATACCAAATGGCTGTGACTATTTTCTTCCACTATTTGATCTGAGGAAGTGGGTCTGGCCCACCAAAGCTCATCCCCTAATAAACCGTCTTGTGAGTGTTTATACTGCTGCATAGCCTGGTGTAGCTGAAACAAAGAACAGGACTAACACGGCTACATTTCTATCACTATCCCATAGCTTTGTGCGTTGTGATCAAATATACTTCAGGTTCATTCTCCTGCTATTTACATTTGGTAAATGCAGCTGTCGGCGGGGGGGGGGACCAAAGCTCATCCCCTAATAAACCGTCTTGTGAGTGTTTATACTGCTGCATAGCCTGGTGTAGCTGAAACAAAGAACAGGACTAACACGGCTACATTTCTATCACTATCCCATAGCTTTGTGCGTTGTGATCAAATATACTTCAGGTTCATTCTCCTGCTATTTACATTTGGTAAATGCAGCTGTCGGCGGGGGGGGGGGGGGGGGGGGGCGCAAAAACATGGTTGAGCAAGGTGGAGCACTGGCCTTTTATGACGTGAGACCACCGGTAGAGTCTGTATTTAGAGTGCTAATCTGAAAAGAACATAACGTAACAAAGGGGAGGTCCAGAGAATGGAGCAAACACAATAAAAACAGACAACTTGATATAGAAGCATGAGCGTGAACTTACAAATCAGTCAGTGCCTTGCAATATTGTTGTTAAATAAAGGCTTCGTATTGGTGTTACCGTGTTGAAAATCTAACAATATAGGCAGAAAATAGACAATTGTATGTATGTATTGATGTTTTTACCTAGAATGCTTCAAGGCAGTTGCCAGTTGGAGACTGTTTCTTAAATTATGTAAAATCAAATCTGCTATGTAATAGGGATGTAAGCGACTAGCCTGGCAGCTCTTAATACATTTAAAAGGCAGAGCCACAGTGGGATTAGCTGCCCGGGGCTGGGAGCTAACCCCACTGCGGCTCTGCAGTCCCGTCCCCCCCATCAACTAATCGACTTGTTGATTAAGTGCAATTTACATCCTTATTATGTAATAATCAGAGTTGCAGTTTGGCAGACACTGTATCCTGAGCTCTTCAGTGATCCACAAATGGTCAGTGTGTATGGTGTTTTAAAACAGCTATGACCTCACTCTTGCATGCATGAAGCACAGCAGAGTGCATTAGTAAGATCAATATGTATCTGCAATGTTTGTGATATTTGGCATTACCCAAGATCCTAGGGAAGGAGAATGATACCTTCAGCCTTGAGAACAGCAGTTTAAAAATTAGATGATTTTATCAACAACCGCATGAAATATAGGTGGGATGTACAGAGAAAAATAACATCAGATGGGAATCTGTATGATCTGTGGGGAGAAATTTGATTCTTACTGAGGAAGGCACTGAACACTGTGGATGTATGCCTGCGTTGCTAAGGAGTGAGTGTATTTGAACTGTTAACGTGAACTGAAGCTTTCAATATGTCTAGTGAATTAGGCCTGAACGTATAGCTCTCCAAGAGCCTGCCATCATAAACAAACACAAAGTAGACTTTCCCATTTTCCCTGTATTTCTAAGCCCCCTTATAGGGAGTGCTAATAGGATTACACTTGTCTCAGTTCACCATGCTCACGAAATATCCTGGCTTCAGGATCTGAAAAAGAATCTGGAAAACAGACAAGAGAGTCAGAGAAGGATTGATTTGAGGAAAGTTGAAGAGTTAAAATGTATGGCGAGCTTTGCAGGGCAGGGATCAAGTGTGGATAATACATCTATAGATCATCTGATGGCACTAAATAAATACTTTCCTAAGTTAATAAGAGCAAACAGTTAATAAGTCTACAGGTTCTTGATCCTATAAATACCAAAGGTGAGAGAGTTAGTTAGAATGTGCATGGTATATAATGGGATTGAATGGATGAAACAGAGGGAAAAATTTTCGAAATGTCAAGAAACACTTGCTGATATTGAGAAGCGAGTCTGTAGAATGGTATCCCAAAGACTTAGTCCCTAATATGCATCTCTAACCTCTACAGTTCGGTAAAGATTGATCCCAGTTGTATAGTTTCACTTCTAGTACTAGCTGGTTTCACTTCATAGTTCTTGAGCATGACGAATTGTAGAGGAGATTGCAAGGGAATACTTAAACCCAAATACACTGCAACTAGTTGGCTTAACGTTCAAGAAAATAGTCCTATTGAGATCTAGTTAAACCTAAATTTTGAGCTTAAACTACCAAGCTGCTACTTTACTTAGTGCAAGAGAATTTAGTTTATATCGCTGTTTTAAAGAGCATTTGAAAGATCATGAAACTTTGTTTTTAATGAAAGTTTAACTTCTCTGAAAAGGAAATCCCAGAGATCTTAAAATCCTGGGTTCCCCAGTGTGATTCTTTTATTTCTGAGACTTCACTGTCTGTGTTACCCTTTCACTGATTTTGTGGAGAAGGGGGATGGAAATAACTTTTAAAACTGTCCTGCTTAATCTTAAAAATATTTTTTGAGTGTAGGTACAGATTTACCCTTCTCGGTTGTAGTCTGGGAAGAATTTTTCTCACAAAGCAAAGTATCAGGGAGCTCCCTTTGAGAGAGATACTTAGGGAAGTGGCTGAGGTTCTTGGGAACACAAGCAAGATGAACAGGGTGGATTTGTGCAACACCTATTTGTAGCACAATGTCTCTCTAGCAATACTTTTTAAATTCTTCATTGTATAAAACATGAGAATTTTTTTTCTTTTATGTGGGACCCTTATTTTAATGTAGATTTGAGTGAGCATTGCTGGTGTTGAAAAGCTGCTGCTTTAAGTATTTCGGAGGTTATAAAAGCAGTGGAATCTAAATAAAAGTATTTTTCTGTACTTTTAAGTAATCCTTTAAATCTGTTTTTATTATGCTTGCACTTGAGTCTGTGGATACTTAAGGTAGACAAGGCTGGTGCCGTGATCTAGCACAGATTTCCACTGGAGAGAATTAAAAATAACCTGCCCTAGGGCTTGGCTTGTAGAGATGGGAAGTTTTGTGATTCACTGAGTGCTACTGAAGGAAGTTACTAGGGAACATTTTGCCACGAGATACAGAGAAACTGCAGTAGCGATAGGTTTATTCCATGAAGCAAAGCACCTGTTCATGTTTTGTAGTGGGTGAAATGCTAAGCATTGACCTGAGATGTGTTCTGGATACAGGTAACTGATTCCACCTTTGCAACTGGAACTCAGCATTGAGTGGGTTCATCTGCCGCTCTCCAAGTGAAAAGGGGCTGGTCTGAATCTGATAAAATGGTTGTGACTCACATATTGTATTGTCTGCTCTCCAGCCTGTGCCCACAGCACTGGCTCAGGTGGACAGAGAGAAGATCTATCAGTGGATTAATGAGCTGTCCAGCCCTGAGACCCGGGAGAATGCTTTGCTGGAGCTGAGTAAGAAGCGTGAATCAGTCCCTGACCTCGCCCCGATGCTATGGCACTCGTTTGGCACAATTGCGGCTCTTCTCCAGGTGGGTGCTTTCCCTTTCTGCCAGAAAGAACTGCTCAGGGTGAGCGCTCTCGTTGATGTGGCTTTTCTTGGGTCTCTCAACCCTTCCTGTTGCAGGGGAGTCTTAGAAATCACACACCTCCTCCTTCCCTTTTCCCCCTCCCCCCGCCTCAGTCCCTTCGTTCACCTCTTCATCAGTCCAGCTTGTTTCATGGCTGCTGCTGGACTCTCAGCACGAGACCTGGGGATTCCTTGAGGCACTGTGAGCCTCCTCTTCAGCATACACATGGAACAAGGGAAGGAAGTCAGACAGGGCTTAGGTTAGAAATTGACAGGCATGGGTCAGACTTCTTCCCCATGCACACTTCCCCCGTGCTCATACACTTCACCCTTCTTGGCATCTTCAGCTAAGGGGACCAGAGGTCCCGGCATATGACTGATGAGAGCAGAGCTTTGTATGCTGGGACTTCTGGCACAGTGAGCTTCCAGGGCATCAATCCCCATAGTGTCTGTCTAACCATTAAAGGCAGCTGTCCTATGCTTCATTACATGCAAAATAGATGTATCACCTTGGCACCTGGCAATTTTCATGGTGCAGCCCTCAGTTGGGTAAAGTGTGGCCTCCCATGTTGTATAACTTCCTTTTACAATTAGGCTTGAAGCAGTGATGTGGTGGCAAATAGAAGGCAGCCGTTTCTCTGGCACCTACAGCCACGTAGCAGACAAACACGTTTTTGCAGCGTGATCCAGTTTTCTCCTTTGATTTTGTTCTTTCTTTAACCTCGTTAGGAAATTGTAAATATTTATCCATCGATCAACCCCCCAACCCTGACGGCCCATCAGTCTAACAGAGTCTGCAATGCTCTGGCACTCCTGCAGTGTGTTGCATCGCATCCGGAAACCAGGTAACTGTCGGACAGAGCATTGGGTAGCGCCTGGGAATTGTGTGTTGTGCTGTGTAAATGGCTGGCTTGGTGCTACACTGGGCAAGTGGCGAGTTCGTTCATATTGCCCCCACGTTAAGGGCAGGGTGGCATTGGACACTGGATGGCAGAGAGCAGTGTTGTGTTGTCACTGGTTCCTTTGGGGATCAGTGTAGATAGCTGTGCAGAGCCCCACACATAGCACATGGCCTTTTGAGACTTCTTGAAATGCCCCGGGCTCTAAAATCTGATCTCCCCAAGACACCCCAGCCAAAATTGTGCCAATGCCTAATGAGAGACAGCTTCCACCTGGGGAGCTTGCAGTGTAATTGGAGAAAACAAGGGAACATGTCCCCAGCTCGCTCCCAGGCCCTCTGGAGTCCCAGCCAGTGCCTCATTTGCTGGAGAGCACGGCCTCTCCAGGTGCCTGGGGACTGTGCCCGTTGCTTGACTTCCTGGCAAAAAGTGATCCAGGTGGCTGAAACCCAGCCTCGTGGCCACGTTCCTGCATGTTCCGCTCCACCTGTGAATAAGGCCCTGTCGTGAAACAAGCTGTGGGAACAGTTAGGAAGCAGAACATCGTTCAGCCTGTACCAGACGTGGTTTAACGGCACCGCTCTTTGAGCCAGGCTTGGGTTCCTTTAACTTCATAACAACGTGAACACGCAAGATCAGTATCTGCAGGCTGGATTCTCTTTACTCCGAGCACAATCCCGGGTCTTCGGCAGAGAGCGATCCCCCTAGGCCGGGCTTTGGAAACGAAATGTTAACAGGGGAACCCCTTCCTCTGGGACTTCCCGCAGTCTGAGTTCTCTCCAGCCCATCCTCCGAATGGGTTCTGGGGCTAGGAGCCAGGCATGACTGAGTGCTGTGGGGGCCGCTGGTTTATGTAATATTTGTTATAGTGGAGTGGTGCCTGGAGGCCAGGCAAATTGCAGTCCTGTCATGCCAGGACCTGGGCATGCACCTGGTAAATCAGACGCTGCACCAAAGCACCTGCAGCCTGAAAGATCAGTTGTAGTGTGGTGAGACAAGCAGCAGATCAGGATGGGGGGAGATGAGGCAATACAGAAATGTGGGGATGTGTACTCCATAGCCTGTTGGGAGCGGTACCTGGGCCCCATCGCCTGCCTGCTCATCTTGCACCAGTAGTGCAGCTCAGAGCACATCCTGTCCCCTCTGTCTGTTTGTAAAGGAGGATGCTTGGCCTGCCCGGCTGAGCAACGGGTGCTAATGTCTGATCAGGCGGTTAGAGGTACCCCGCTGCGTTAGTGTTGTGTGTTCTGTGTAGCCCTCTTGGCTTCTTGTGGTGTGTGTTCAATGTGTCTTCTGCCTTTTCTTCCAGGTCAGCCTTCCTTGCAGCTCACATCCCTCTCTTCTTGTATCCCTTCTTGCACACAGTTAGCAAGACTCGGCCATTTGAATACCTGCGGCTTACCAGCCTCGGCGTGATCGGTAAGCACTCCTGCAAAGGCTGTGAGCCTTGGCTCCTCCTTTCCTATGGCCGGTTCACTCCGTGCCTCCTAGCGTACCAGGACCTTACATCGCCGTTACTGTTCTTCCCTATGTGAGAACATCTGACTTCCCACTGGCGTGCCTTGCCTGCCTGACTCCCGTTAATAGGAGTGGGAAGCGTGTGTCTAAGTGCTACGTGGCCCTGGAGGCTTGGGACCTGGGCTGTGCTGCTGGTGGGGTTTGTCACGCACAGTGCAAGTGCATCTGATGTTTCCATAGCATGGACCAATAGTCCTTTCTTTTGGTTGAGCAGGATCAGGCTAACACGGCTACATCTCTGTCACTGCCTCTTGCTCTGGCACCGGAAGCTCCGGTTCCATTGGGACGTTCTGGCCTGAAAGCAGGCGGGGAGTTTGCTTGTCAGGAATGGTCAGGCGGCTGGTTCTTCAGCTACGTGAAGGGAAATGGTTAAGGGGGCACCACACTTCCAGGGACTGTCTCCATTTTCTCGCCGTTTCCCTGCACGGTGGGGCGGGCGGGAAGATGCTGTCTCTGAGACACATTCATGTTTCATCCGGGCAGCCAGTGGTCAGCTGAGGGTTCGATTCCGCTCGGGTTTGTTCCATTGCTGGCAGGGGACAAAGCTTAGACTTGACCTGCCTTTTTTATTCTGCTGAGGTTCCCTCACCAGACACCTCAGCAGATTCAGCATGAGGACTGCACTGGCTGCCCAGTGCCCCCTTTAAAATCCCTGGGTGACTACATGCCCCAGTTCGCGTAGCTTCCTCCTATGCTGGTCACACTGATCTTCACTCAGACTTATCGCCCCAGAGCAGCGGTCTGTGCTCCATGCACAGCGTGGCGAAGGTGTGAGGCTTGGAGAACAGTTACAAGGCCCTATTGTTGCATGAAGCCATCTTCTCTCCCTCCTTTTTCCCCATGCGGTCACGATGTGCTAGTCGGTGTCTGTGGCCAAAAGGCCCAATCAGACAGAGAGCAGGAGGGGCAGTTTGCCCTGGTGTGGGTAACAGCAGCACTTCAGTCTCTTCGAAAGGGATCTGTGACCCCTTCTACTTCTCTCTGCGACTCAGCTAGGTCCACCCCGGCAAGCGGGGCCTGGATAGACCTCTGCCGGCAGTGACCCCCTTTAACAGCGAGCGGTGGGCCGCTTTCAGCAAAGCAGCACTAGGATGGTCCCCACTGGACGGTAACAGTTTGAGAAGCTGAATTTGGGGTATGGCTGCTGCTAGAGCCCGGGTCACTGAAATATTCTTTCTTTGTGCGCTGGCAGTGCCCGCAGTCCGTGCCATCCCGAGCAGCACCTGCACCCCGGCCACGGTGGGGCCATACAGATCTTTGCCTCCTGGCTTGGGCTGTTCTTTCCCAGTGCCTGCTCTCTGACGCTCTCTTGTCTGTTTCTAAGGGGCCCTGGTGAAGACAGATGAGCAAGAAGTGATCAACTTTTTGTTGACGACAGAAATCATCCCCCTCTGCTTGCGCATCATGGAGTCTGGCAGCGAACTTTCCAAAACGGTATTTGCCTGTTGTCGAAGTCAGTGATTTGGGTTTGTGGGCCTCCTGGCCGCTTTCCTCTGGGGCCTCTGTGTTCTGTTCATCATGCCCCTGCCCGCGGCAGATCAGCGTCGCTCGCCAGTTAGTCGACCTCCCCCTGGTGTAACATGACACTAAGGTGGCAATCGCGCTGGCAGCCTGAGCTGGACGTTACCCGCTGTGCTCTCGAGCTGCGCGGGGGAGGGGGGGGTACTGCCTGCGACACCCCCCTTGCTGCGGAACGGCCTTCCGTTGGCCTGTCTGGGGTCTGTTGGCCCTGGGTTGGGGACCGTAGTGACTCTGCAGTGCTGAAGCGTGAGAGCAGCACCTCGCTCACTAGTCCTGCCATCCCCTCGCCGCTAGCTTGGATTGGTGGATATTAAGGTGGGAGGGTACTATGAGTGTAGTCCACCTCCTCCATAGCCCAGGCCTTTGGTGGTTGATTGAAGCAGCCAGGCAGTGTAACATTAGAGATGAAAACTCCAAGCCAACTGGGCCAGGCTGTATAGAGCTAGGCAGGGCTGTGGGGTGGGCTGCTCCTTCCTGTTTGCCCTTCCAAGAGCCTGATCAGCCTGCATGAAGAGGTCACAGTTGCCCATTGCCCGTGGTAGCGTGGCAGGAATATCCCATAGCTGCACGACTAGCCCATGGCTGCACTGCTGCTTACGTTGGCAAATATTGTCCCTCGGGGTGTGAATGTTCCATCCCGTCGAGCAAGGTAAGTGACACCGGCATGAGCATGGCTGTGCACAGCGCTGTCAGTGGGGGAGCTACTGCCGTTCGCTGCGGGTGGTTTACTTGCCCCAACAGAGGAGCTTTTGCGCCCCAGCAGAAGAGCTGCCTGAGAGCACTTGCACGGGTGCGTCAGTTACAGCTGTACCGCTGTGAGCTCGCCAGTGCAGACAGCCTTAGTGATCGAATGGCTCCGTACAGCCCTTCGTTAATATCCAGCTCTTGTATCTGCCTCTCTTCCCTCCGGAGTGTCATTGTAGCCACGTAAGCCCCAGGATATTTGAGGGACAAGACAGGTGAGGTCAGATTTGTCATTGGCCCAGCTTCTGTTGGTGAGAGGGGCGGACTTCTGAGAGCTCTTCGTCCAGTCGGGGAAAAGTGTTACAGCTAAATGCAAGGTGAAACGCCTTAGCTAGTTCATACGTATCCTGCAGGGCCTTTCCCGGCAAAGTGGGCCATGCGCAACCCTGCAGCCACAGGACGAGAGGAGGAGTTGGTGGTGTCCAGTTGGGCGTGATAAGCCATACGTCCAGGGTCTTTATTAGGATTGCATATTTAGTGTCTGGCAGAGTTATGAGCTGCAGCTCTCGGCCGCTCTTTGAACGTGTTGGGCAGGTTTCCTTGAGGTGGCAGACTCGGCTAGAGCGCGATCGCTTTGACGGGTTCACCCGCAGCAGATGCGGAGTGGGGTGTTGTCTTATCGCTTTTCTGTGCGAGTCCGTTCAGGCTCCTATTGATTTCATCCCCGTCGTTGTGACTGGGGCGTTGGCTGAGGCACACCACGCCTCACCATAGCCACGTCTAGTGACCGTGGAGCTCGGAAGGTGCCTTCTGGGGTGTGTTTCTCACGATAGCAGTGGAGATGTGTCTGCAGGTTTGGCATCTTCTGTTCAGGGTGGACTCTAGTGCCGCTTTGATGTTGGAAGGTCCTGGTCTGTGGAGAGCATCTTCCTTTCTCCCTTTCCTAGTGAATTTCAGCTGTTCCTTCCCGTTTGAATCAGAGGGATTCCCACTGGGGATGTAAGCCACTAGTCGACTAAGCTTATCGGATAGTCGACTAGTGATGTGATTAGTCGCTTCCCCCCCTTGCTGCCTCTATCAGGGAGCAGGAGCCGGTGCTGGGAGGAGCCAGCTTAAAAGCCGGTTCCCCCAGCACGGTCTCCGCGGGGGAGCAGGGGTGGTAGAGGCACAGTGGGACTGAAGCAGTCTCCACTCGCGCCGCTTCTGCTGCGATTCCACTTTTGAAATGTACAGTAGTCCCACTTGTGCATGGTAACGGCTGCAGCGCGCAGGGAGCCCGGCAGGGTTCTGGAAGGCGCCCTTGTAGACTAATCGAATAGTCGATGGAATCCCATCGTCTATTCCATTAATCTACATTTAACATTAATTAACCAATCGGATGTTAAATTTAAATTAACATCCCTAGTTCCCACTCCTGTTACGATCCCCGATCCCCTGGTACGTGTCCGTTTGTAGACGATTGGGGTTGCTGTCAGAAGGGCAAACGGGACATGGTCCCTTGTCTGCCCGTTACGGGTGCGGTGGGCCAAGCACTTCCTCCTCTCTCTTCCAGGTTGCGACATTTATTCTACAGAAGATCCTGCTGGATGACACAGGATTGGCGTATATCTGCCAGACGTACGAGCGGTTTTCTCATGTCGCCATGATACTGGTAGGGGCGGTTGCTCCCTTCTCTTCCTAAAGGGTCAGGCTGGGACAGGCGGCTTGTGATCGTGAGCGTACACTTGCTGCTGAGGGTCTGTCCTATGCCAGCTTCCCGCGGCTTTGTAAATCCACCCGCAGCATGTCATGGAGCTCAGGCCGCCACGGGTGGAAAGCCTGCCACTGGTATTCGTGACTAGACCTGCACAGTGAGACTCTCCCAGGAAGATCCCTCGGGAAGTGGGACACAAACAATACGAAAAGTAGCTTTTTTAGCAGCCGGGGCCTGAGGTTGGATTATGTAGATTTCTGCCAACTTCCTATTAAACATTTGTGCCTGTCTCTTACAGCGCATGGGGAAGGGAGGGGAGGGCTGTTACCTACAGGCAAACCCAGCGAGCGAATGCTAACCGCGGTCCTGGGCAATGCTTTCCATGCTGAATCTTGGACAGCGCTCAGGGAGATGGAACTCCTGCGGTCCTTGGTTGAATGAGAATTCAGCTGGGAAGGGACTGGCCTGGGGCTGTGATCGGTGGGGACACCTTGCTCCGTCCAGGGACGAGGGAGGGCCAGAGCTCTGCAGTAGCGGCTCCGGTTTGAGCAGGATCTTTGAGTTGGTGCTGTCTCCTGGTAGTGTTACAAGCGGGGCTGGAACAGTGACTCTCTGCCTGTCAGTGGGCACAGTCATCTCTGCCTTGGTGGCTGCCGGACCCCAGTCCCAGGAGGCATTCAGCACTTCCCGGTCCTTTTACCAAGCGCTGTTTCTCTGACTCTGCTCCTGTCGCACAGGGCAAGATGGTCCTGCAGCTCTCCAAGGAGCCGTCAGCAAGGCTGCTGAAACACATGGTCCGCTGCTACCTTCGCCTTTCCGATAACCCCAGGTAAACATTTCAGGAGTGTGCCAGGGCCGCGGGGGGCGAGAGCCGAGCTGCTTTCCCCTTCTCGCTGGACGGGCCGTTCCGTTCCCGCTCCGTGTGCCTGCCTCGCGCTCCGCCTGGGAAGTGGGGCTTGTCTCCAGATCAGCCGCGAGCTCCCTCCGCTCTGCCCAGCTTGTGCATTGTAGCCTGTAATGCAGGTTTGGCAGGGTGAAGGGCCGTAATTGCAGCTGTCCCAGCACGCTTGCCCCGAGTCAGAACGTAGGGACCAGAGCCCTGTGCTCTCCACCTCGCTCGCCTGGAGCTGAGACGTGCTGCCAGGGGCTCGTAGGGGCAGAGCGGTGGAGTAACGAGGGGCCACGGCCCCGGCTAGCTATGTTCACGTTGGCTCTGCGCCCATCCCAGCTGGCTCTGGAGCCCGACTCCTCCGCCTCCGCATGCGGAAGGGGGTTGTGGCTGGGCAGGTGTTGGGACGCGGGGCCCTTGGCTCTGGGGGAGGCTGAGATCTGCCCGGAGCTCGTGGGTTTGGGGAAGGGGCGAGACCAGAGCCGAGGTCTGGGGAGGCCAAGTGGGCAGGAGCCCCGGGCTGCAGTGACTGGGCTGTTCGAGCGGGAGGCCGGCTCGCTCCTGTCAGTGTGAGTGTCTGTGTTGGTGCCCGTTTCTGTCCCCGCTGTAGGGCCCGGGAGGCTCTCAGACAGTGCCTTCCTGACCAGCTGAAGGACACCACCTTCGCCCAGGTGCTGAAGGACGACACCACCACCAAGCGCTGGCTGGCGCAGCTGATCAAGAACCTGCAGGAGGGTCAAGTCACCGACCCCAGGGGCATCCCCCTGCCCCCGCAGTGCTGCCCGGGGAGGCGGGGGACCAGGGAGGAAACAGCTCAGGTTTACAAAGAACCAGGAACCCATGACCTCTTCCAGGACTGCCTGGGGGCGCAGGCCGGGCTCCGGACTGCCCACCTCCCAGCCAGCAGGGCCGCTCCCCCAGCATGGGGCTCTGGGCGTTGACACCAGCACATACTGTTACTGCAGCTTCCCATCCAAGCACCGCCTCTCCCCAGCTCGGCTGGCATCTGCCCGGTGCCGGGCCAGGCCGTACCCCTGCGGACGTGAACTCTCCCCCGCGGCGTGTGGGGCACGGGCTGCCTCCTTCGCGTTCCTTGTCCCCTCACCGGTTCCAGGTCTGTTCAACGAGCGAGCTCAATAAAAGTTGACCCAGTCGCTTTCTCCCCTCCTCGGAGCACAAACCGGCTGCGTCTCGCCCCGGGCGGCCCTCCTGACGCAGAAAGCTCCTTTCTGGCGCTGCCTCCCCGGCTTCGCTGGCCGGAGCTCTGCTAGCAGGGGGTGAGGGAAGGCAGAGGGCCTCCTGGCTTGTGGGCCCTTCCTTAGGGCCGTCGTGTTTCTGGGATGTAAATCCTGCATTTCGGGCGCTCTGGCGGCTGGGTGGCGGCTGTACTCCACCTACCCGAGCTGCTTGTCCGGCATCTCCTGGGCTGTAGTACAGCGCTTCTCCCAGCACCGCCTGGCCGGCAGGAGGCTGGGCTTTGCCCCCTGAGCCCGCTTCGCTGGCCAGGTGCGTCAGCGCGGCCGGTTCGCTGGCAGGCGCTCACCGCATGAGGAGATCCTGGCAGCAGAGGGCCCAGGGAGGAGCAAGTTGGGCAGGGGCGGTGCTGTCAGGGAGGTGCCAAGGGCAGCAGGGACGTCGGCTTTGCTGGGGTGCCAGGCGTCGAGGCTGCCTTGATCCACAAGGGCTCTTGCTCCTCCCCCTTCTCCCACTCCTCGTCCCTGGCCCAAAGGCGGCCGCAGCAAGGCCGTCTGGAGAGACACCTGCCCGCGTCGCTCTTCAAACCAAAGGGGGGAGGCGGATTGGCCAGCGCTTGTCCTACAGGCCGGGGGCCCCCAGTGCCAGCGCTGGCCTTGCCCTGCAGTGACGCTGCTCGGCCCTGGCACCCAGCAGACGGCAGCCAAAGCTCGCGCTTCCTCGGGAAGAAGCTTTTCCCCTTTTGCTGATCATCGGCCATGTCATTGTGCCAATAGTGTCTTAACCCCCTCCAGGCCTCTCCTCCCCCGCCCGCGGGCCCCCGTGCAGCACGGGGGCAGAGCGCCGGGCCCCCTCCCTCGCCCCGGGCTCTGGTTTTATACCGCTAGGCTCATTTTTCCATCCCCACCTTGACACGACTTAAAAATGCTTCTGTTTTGTAACTTAAACTTAATAAAAAAAACCCAAAGCACCTCCGCTCCCGTCTGATCTCTGAGCGTGGGAGCAGAGGCGCCTGCAGGCAGGGGGTGCGAAAGCCGGACAAGCACGAGCTCCCGGCTCCTGGAGTCGGTACGGGGGGGGGGGTGAAACTGCTCGGGGGGGTCCTGGCAGGTTTAAGTGGGGGACCACAGCTTGGAGCTGCCTTGGCCGCCTCCTCTGCCGGTCTGTTGCCTCGGCCCCTCTCAGGGTCTTGGCAGCATCTGGCTGCAGGAGCTGCTTGTGTGTTGCCGCCGCTCAGAGAAGTGGGCCGAAGCCACCTGCCGCTAGAACGTATCGCTGGGCTTGGGAGAAAATCTCTGGCTCCGAAACCCCTCCAGGGAGACGCTGCCCTGCTTTGAGTGTCTGTGGGGGGAGAGGGGGAGCTTGGTTCCTTCCTGCCCCCTCCCGGGGCTGCACTCCGGCGCCCGCTCTCCGGCAGAGCAGCTAAGACGGGTTGTGCTCGTCACTAAGTGGGGTTCCTGCTGGCTGACTCCCCTGGCAGACACCTGCCCCTCCCTGGCGCTGCCCACGGCGCTGCCAGGCCAGCCCAAGGGCTCAGCCCCGCTGGAGGATCTGCACTTCGCTCGGGGCTGCTGATCTGTTTCAAGGGTTAATTAGCGAACTGCAAAGCGGCAGGGAGGGAGCCTGGGGCCAGGTCTTGGGCCTGGGAATTGAGCTGGGACCCAGCTGTGAACTAAGCCTCCTGAACCCAGTTCAGCTCCTGTCTCAGCCCCTTGGATGGGGCTTTTCCCCTTCCAGCGCGGGGGTCCTGGGGAGAGTTGGGTGATTTGTGGCAGGGGGTGGCCTGAAAACTGGACAGGACCTCACGAGGCCATCAAGTCCCGTCCCCTGCCCTCCCGCCGGGCCCAAGCACATCCGCATCCCTGCCCAAGCTGCTCCTCAATGTCTCCAGCGATGGGGATTCCACAGCCCCCCCCGGCAATGGATTCCAGGGCTTCACCCCCTGACAGGCAGGACGTTTTTCCTAATGTCCAACCTCAACCTCCCCTGCTGCAGTTTCAGCCCATTGCTGCTTGGCCTGGCCTGGCCTGGCCTGGCCTGGGAGCACACTCGTGACACCCTTTCAGGTCCTGAAAAGCTGTCGTCAGGTGCTGCCTGCAAGGGGGAAATGACATTTCTCTTCCTCCTGTGGGGGTGAGATTAACCAGGGGCCAGGTTCTGCTTGGCCTGGCTTGTGCCATGGGCAGGCCTGGGGCTGCAGACCCTGAGGGTCCTACAAATGGTGCCATCTCCTCCAGCCTGATCATCCCCCTCCAGCACCCGCCTCGCTGCTCTTTGTTCCCTTTCCCGGCTCCTGCTCTCCAGGCCTGGGCTGGCGCCAGCAGGGCCTTGCTAAGGTTCCGGGTCTGTTTTAACCTGTCTCCGTCCCTCCTTCAGTTGCTCCCAACTGGGGGGTGCAGGAGATGGGGCCAGTGCATCTCCCGCACGGGGCCACTGGCCTGGGGCACCTTCCTCCCACTTGCTGGGAGGTACCACCTCTCCAATCTAGGGCCGAGGCAGTGCGCTCTCACCACTAGCCTACACTGCTGGCAGGAGAGGGCTTCCCTCCAGGCGGGGCCTGGTTCCTTGCCCTGCTCAAAACTCCCTTGAGCCAGATGTTTTCTAGGACCATAGCAACGCAGGGCTGTGAACAAGTCTCCATTGTGTTACATATCCTGCTGCCCACCCTGCATCCCCCCCAGTCCCGTCTCTGTGGGGTGGGAATTCTGGGCATGGCTGCGTTTCCAGCTCCTGGCAAGGAAGCAGACCCCCTGGGGTACGCTGTGGCTGTCGCTGCCAGGGGGCACAGCTAGGGGCTCGGGAGGGCACCACAGATACCCGGCCCCCCACCCGGGGTCGTGTGTGAAACCAAGGTCGTAAATTTCCAGTAGCTCCATTCTGGTTCGGGTCACCGAGTTCCCTTGTCTCCCTCCTTCCTTTATTGCTCATTTTATTTCTCTTCATTTCCTTAACCCCCCTCCCCTCCCAACAACCGTCCTTCTGCCTAACCTGTGCCCAGGCCCCTCCTGCAGGGAAGGATGGGACCCTGCAGTGCCCGGGCTGGGGAGACGCCAGCGACTCCATTTGGAAATGAAACCCTGGCTCGTCGCTGGCTGAGCTGAGGCTCACGTGGGCTGCAGCTGTGACCCCATTCCCAGCTGAGGCTGCAGGGGCAGATGGCTCCACAGCTCATCCCAGGCTGTTCCTGGTCCAGCTAGAACGGGGGCGGGACCCAGCTTCGCACTTGCCCTGGGAACAGGCTGGAAGGCCGGGCCGGTCGGTGTGGGGCAGCCTGGGAGGTGGGACAGCAGCAGAGCCCCTGCGTGGCCCGGGTCTGCCGTTGGCCCCGGCGAGCTCGGAGCCCCCCTTCCACCCTTGCTTTTAGGGGAAGAAGGCTCGTCTCTCAGGCTGGTCTTGGTGCCCCCACGCAGGGGTGCTCTGTGCCAGTGTCCCCGTGCAGCGGCCGACGGGATCGGAGCCCAGGGAGGAGGGTCCCGGCCGGTAGTGCAGAGCGCCAAGCGCAACAGGCCAACAGCAGCTGGGGCCAGGTGAGTCTTGCAAACAATCCAGGCCCTGGCGAGCCCTGGGGGGAGGAAAGTGAGTCCCAGAGTCCCAGACTGGGGGCTCCTGTGAGCCGGGGGCTTCTCGCCACACGCAGCCAGCCAGCAGCTGCCTGCACCGTCACTCCAGGCAGGCTGCCAAGTGGCAAGGTGACAAGGAGGCCCTGGCTCTGTGCCTTTAAGGGGAGAAGGAGCCGCCGGGCTGGGCTGAGCTGCTGGGAGATTATTTCTCCTTGCAAGCTCAGCTGCTGGCTCAGTAGCTCCCCGGAGCGCCTGCAGCATGGCACAGGCCCCCCGGAGCGAGGGAGCCCAGACGGGAGCCAGCCCTGCCCAGGCAACAGCAAGAGGTAAGGGCGCCCCGGCAGCCGCAGCACCACTTCTGGGGGCG